TGTACTCTGTGTTTTAACAGCCCAAATTGACTAAGGCACCAGTGGTGTTCAGTTTTTTTTTTTTTTTTTTTTTTTTTATATAGATTCCCAGTTCTTTTCATTTCCCACAGCCAACAGACCCTGTAACGCACTCAAAGAATGGCATCACAGCCTCTGTATCATAAACATCTAAACCGCCTCTGTCTTTACAGGGTCAGAAGGTCAAACATCAACTGGATCATAAAGTTATTCCAAAAGGCAAATGAGACATACAAGTCTATATGTGAAAAAGGCATGAACATGAAGAATCTTTTGATAATCTTTCAGATCTTGCACCCCAAAGTTACCAACTCATTTTTTAATTTAATATATTGTGAAGCCAAATTATTAATAGTGAGAAAAGTCCTTTGTCAGTTGGTTGGTTTGGTGGTGGAGGGGGTCTACACAAAATGGGCAGGTTACCAGTAGGGCCTGTGCAAGTAGGCAGCTATTCAATCCAGCTTCGGATCCAGCCGCTTCGTATGCCAGCGATGCGATCCGGAGCTCCGAACCAGGTTCCCGCCTCAATCCAGCCAAAACGGCTCCAAAGCTTTGGAGCCGCCTCAGAGATCCGGCCACAGGGTATAATGGGGAATCAATGAAATACTTATAACTTTGTTGGGGTTTTTTTTTGTCTGATTTGGATGAACCTTGCAGGGGTGCTGGCCTCTGCTGAGAGCATGAAACCTGCCAAGTTTCAAGATCGGTGCAGGGGTTCGGGGGGAACTGCACCCCAAATTCTTGAAAGCAAAACTCATGTCACATCTGTGTGTTACACCACCGGGGGGGGGGGTGAAAACTGCAGGGGTGGTGGCCCCTGCTCAGGCCATTAAGCATGCCAAGTTTCAAGGAGATAAGTGCAGGGGTTTGGGGGTAACTTCACCTCAAGCAAGGACTGCAGGGGTAGTAGCCCCTGCTGAGGCCACAAAGCCTGCCAAGTTTCAAGAAGATCAGTGCAGGGGTTTGGGGGAAACTGCACCTCAAGCTGCTAACAGGCAAAACTTGTGACATGGGTAACACTGTGTGTGTTAAGGCGCAGCAGGATGAAAGCTGCAGGGATGGTGGCCCCTGCTCCAGCCACGACGCCTGCCAGCTGTCAAGAAGATCAGTGCAGGGCTTCTGGGTCCTGAGGCCCTGCACCTCTAGCTGCTGACAGGCAAAACTCGTGACGACTGACTCTAGCTGCTGACAGGCAAAACTCGTGACAACTGACAAAACTCCTGCCTTAACACACAGTGTCACCCATGTCATGAGTTTTGCCTTTCAGCAGCCAGAGGTGCAGTGCCCCAGAAACCAGACTCCCCCTGCACCTACCTCCTTGACAGCTGGCAGGCTTTGGGGCCTCCACAGGGGCCACCACCCCTCCAGTTTTCACCCCCCTGTGTTGTAGCACATAGATGTGACATGAGTTTTGCTTTCAAGAATTTGGGGTGCAGTTCCGCCCAAACCCCTGCACCAATCTTCTTGAAACTTGGCAGGCTTCATGCTCTCAGCAGAGGCTACCACCCTTGCAAGTTTCATCCAAATCAGACAAAAAAACAACACAGTTATAGATAGTTCATTGATTCCCTATTATGCTGAATGGCCGGATCTCCGAGGTGGCTCCAAAGCTTTTCCAAAGCAGCTGGGAAGCTCTGAACTGCTTCGGAAAGTCTAACGAAGCCAGTGCTTCGATCCAGACATGCTGCTTCGAACGCCGAAGTGTTCAAAGCTTCTCCAGATCTGAAGCCTGACACAGCCCTAGTTAGCAGTACTACAACAGCTTGAGTGGGTTACACCAATAAACTTATTGCAAGGTTAAAATCTGCACCTCAAAGAGAGGATTTTGTCCAATACCCACTACGACAATAAGAAGAGGTCAAACAAAATGTTTTAGTGAGACTATATGCACATGCTATCGTTTGCTGAGTTCACGACTGGTCTACAAGAAGGACTCCACTAACCCTTCTAGCCATTATGATGGATTTGGACCTGCTCTTTAATAAGTTATAAATATAGTAAGTTGACTTGTTTATTTAGGGGGTTTGTCTTTGAATATATCGGTTGACTTTAATAGGAAGCTGTCAGAAAAAAATCAACAAGGGGAGGAGAAAAAGAATGGCTCAAACTTAAACTCCCAGGACAGGAGAAGTAGCTTAACGCAGGACATCAGATGATCACTGCCGGGTTTTAAACGGCACTCTCAAGAAGCAGTCAAGACATCAGGGTGAGCCAGGCTCAGAGACTGGCACATATTTAACTGTCTGAAGAAGGCAGGCCTGATAAGGGTGCTATTTTGGGACAGTAAGACTAGTCAAGATAGACATGCGTGTAGACTGCTATTTTAAAATCCTCTTTTCTCTGTGTTCCTTTGATCCTGCTTTTAATATAAACAATATTTCTTTTTTCTGAAGACTGTGTTGTTGCCACATACACTGCAAAGCACAGATACCCAAGGTGAAGAACCACAGGTACCCACTCTCAGCTGGACCCGAAGAAACCGAACCGTTGATGGACAGGGCACAACAGAGTCTAGGGCCTGGTCCAAGGGGCCTAGAACCATCTAATGCCCCTATCAAGGCCAAACTCCTGGGGAGCTACACTTAGAGGGAGGAAAGGTAAAAAGCTAAACTGGAAGTCACAGCACATCAACAGGTGTTCCTGAAAGGACTGTACACAGTATTATAAAAGTATCCTTCACTACAAAAATGCAGTCCTCCCTGCCTAGAAGGACCTTTCCAGATATATGAAGTTAGAGTTCTCTGGCTTTCCATATCTGACCTCTGCATTTGACAAATTGCAATGCATTGTTCTGCCTCTAATGGAGCTTCCATTTATCCACAGTTCCAACTGGCGTACTCTCATGAAAAAGGGAAAGAGACCAAAGGCAAACTTCTTACATAGTAAAGCTAACAACAAGTTGGCGTCTTGGCAATATGATGATGGGAACACTCAGAGAACCAATATGAAACTTTAAGCTTTTGGTAAACCTTGTTTCCTTTTTTAAATGTTTGATTAACGGATGTTACATTCAACTAAATACACTCATTTTTTAATGTGTAACATGCCTTATCAACTGATTTTTCCTCATTTCCAATAGCAGACCAGATTCTATTAGTCCAACTCCATACTGAAAAGTCACATGCGTTGGGAATAGTCATTACAAGAGCAGCACTTACTAGAAAACATCTCCATTGACTGAAGTGAAGGTGACAAAGGATTGTAAAGAACGCTCACCTATGTAACTGTGTTAACTACTTAGAAACATTCACAATTTTAAGTCCATATTCCTTGAACTAATTCAATGGCTTTAACAGGTCACTGGAACATTTAAGCATGTAACACGCAATCAAACCCTTTTTACCTGATGGCTGGGTCCAACTCTGATTTCCCCCTGGGTGCTGTTCAGCCTCCTATCATGAAAGACAAAAAGAACAGCAATCAGTAAGTAAAGGTCACAAGTAACACAGCTTTGCACACACATCCGCTATCCATACAAAAAGCCTGTTGATGTCTGTTTGCAATGCAAACTGAAAAATAGCAAAAATAATGCACCATTAAAGCAAAAAACAGAAGACACATTCTTCAGCAGGGCGGGACATGTTGCAAATGGCAAAAGCCAATGAGGACGCATCTGGAATTTTTGGTCAAGCAGCAACCACATTAGCAAGTCTCTAACAGGATCATTTCTTTGTGCCACCTATCCAGGCAGCAGTGAAAGAAGGGTGATAGATGATGGTCAGTCAACCTGCCTACCTCCAATTTGTGGCGCTCAAATCCCAAGCATCCCCGTCCCAGGGCTTACCAGCTGCAAACAACAAACTTCCAGTGAATCCTGGACTGCCCTTAATCAGTCTATAAGCATCAGAGATTTATGCTCTAAAGAGCAACATACTGATTGCACCATTGCTGTTAACAGCCTAAGTGTCAACATCATATGCTTTAGAAGAAAACGCCTACTCTCTCTCTCTATCCTCTTATGGAAGCATTATGCTCTTATGGAAGTGGCTCAGGAATGAAAAAAGTTTACTTTATTTTGACAGCACGGAGATGATTTCTTTATTCACTTCTGGAAGCAACCAAGAAAGTTGCATCTGCATCCTCACCTCTCCCCTCTCTTCTTTGATGGTTATATCAGAAATGTGTCTTAAAAAGGACAGATGCACCAAAACTGAGAATCTGCATTACTGGCAAAACCCCACCTTTTAGGGTCTTGTTTGGCAAAACTATTCTAACACATGCAGCTCAATTTTGAGGGAAGCTAAGCTCCCCAGAACTGCCACTAATTTTGCTTGGTGTCTCAGGTGTTCAGCCTTCTGAAAAATTATGTCTGTAGTCTACTCAATAAAGGTTCCTGCTTACAGATGTACCTTTGGGATCCGAATGCAGCCAAAGCTAGGAAGGTTGCATTGCGCTGCAGGACCCCTAGAGAGGCATTAAGGAGTACAGCAAAGTTCAGAGAGATTTAAATGTCCCAAGGGCTGAAGTTCTGCAAGGTCTCACTTATTGTTTTAAGAACAGTATGTTACTTATGTGCTGCATTAATTCATATATCTTCATGTATATACTGTGAATATACACCATGAGAAAACACAGCAGTCCCTGTGGTCTTCCCACAAACTATACCCATCGTTATTTAAATGCAGGTATACGCACTTTTGAGCGAACTATTTCAGTAGTTGCAAGATATTAAAACAAATGCTAAACTCACTGGCAAGCAAAATGGAAGCGCTTAACCTGAATCATCTGCCAAAAGTAAGAGCAACCCATTTGGATGGACTTTTATTGTCTAGCTATCGTAGGGAACCATACCGGTACATGAGGTCAGTTACTACTCCTGTGTTTTCCAATGGCCTCTTTAGGCAAAATGGGGTAAATTAAACTTTCTTCAAATACTATAAATGAAAACCCAGACAGTAGATTTTAACCCTGTATTAGAACACAGATATCCAGATCAAACAGACTAGCATCATCAGAAGTCACAAAGGCCATTAAGAATCAAAGGCATTTTTGAGGTGGCCACGTGCGCTTTTAGAGCAACTCCCATGCCAGTATCTCAAAGTACTTCAGAGATTAACACGTTGAACCTCAGTGTCTTGGTAAGACAGGGAAGCTTACATGTCTCTCTTTTGTATACGTTGGAAAACGTGGCAATAGAGTGAAGAGCCTAAGAGAACAAAGCCACCACATATGGTGGCTACTCTCAGATCCAGGTCCCATGTTTTAACATCATTAGAGAATGCTTCCTTCTCTACAGTCCACAAATACATACCAAAAAAGTGTGTCAAAACTCCCCCCCCCAAACCACTGGAATCCAAATGGAAGCAAGTAAACGTCAAAAATGTATTTCCCCTTTTCAAAGGCATCTCTTCAGGATATGCATGGTATATATTTGCAGAACTACAGCTTTAATATAGGACATGCGCATTTTCAAATTCATTCGTTTCATGGCTTCAGAATAAGCTACCTATCATCTAAAATGAGATTTTTTTTAAAGCAATTCCCTAATTAATTGGATGTACATTTTTATTTGCTGTTAAGATGCTATTTCCTGCTGCAATTAAAAAAAAAATCAACCTAAAAAATGATTTGAGAAGAAGGATTTATAATGGGAAAACAGGCATTCCCACTTCCTTCGTCGAATCCATTATAAAACTGCATTTGTGTCTGAGGGTCAGATTCACTCAGACTCCCGACTTGCTGAGGTATTGTCTGCCAGGTGGGGTGCCCCAGACCAAAAGCAAGAAACATGAACAGATTTTTGTATTTAAACAAGAAAAAAGGAACCAATATTCTCTCAGAGAGACAGAATAAGGGCTGCTCTGCCTAATCTTTCTTCCATCCTGCGCCTGTATTCCCACAGCTCGGTACAGTGAGAAAAACAAGCTGCTAAATCCACTCTTTTATTCCAAAGCACCTTTCTGCACTATGGCTCAGTGCCCAGAAAGAGGTCTAGCAAGAGGGACTCAATGGGGTCTTAAAAGAGCACTGTAAAAGAGCCTCAGCTGCAGCCTTGGCCATGCTCTCGCTCGGCCTATCTGCTCCAATCAGCACAAGGGTCTTAGCTTCTCAGCTCATTCTGCAAGGTGCACACACCACTCTGCATATCGCTCCTGCACAATGGGGTCAAGCTGCTGTTGCACGTATCAGAACTGAATAAATGCTCCGAGTATCAGGCACTAAAGAGCTGGAAAATTTGCTAAGCTGTTCTGGGGGCATCGGTTTCTCCTTGTCAAAAATACACAGATCCCTTTCTGCATCTGAAAAATGTCTGTTCTGAGCCAGGTCTCAGGGTGATAAGCAGAACTGAAGCTTAAAGAGAAAAGGAACTGCATCCCCAGAGCAGCTACTAAAACAGGGGAAGGGGCAGTGGCTGCTCGCTGCTGGAGACCTGAGTGCAAGTGCTCAGTGGAGAACGCACAATTTGCTTTTATCACATTGCAAAAGTAATCACAGAGTCCAACAGGATTAGCAAGATTTGCTGAAGAAACCCAGAACTGAAATGGAATTGCAAGTTTCAATGGGACAAAATTTAGGATGTCTGACTGCAGCAAAAGCTGTGTCATAAGTGTACATACACGCATGTGCACGCACACACGCTCCCCACCGTGCTCCAGACTGACACTGCTTTCATGGCCTACAACCAGTTTCACAAACCCATTTTTCCACACTGTTAAAACAAAAACTAGTTAAGCAAAACTGCTAACGTGGATATGAATCTACAGATAACTTCCAAACAAGCCAAAGGCCCTGGGGAAAAACCCAGTAATATTTTAACCTTGCATTCATTCTAAAAGAAATGTAGCAATGCAATTCTTCTCTAATTGCCCATTTCCTTCATTGGCTTTACGCTGACAGTACATAATAAAACGTTTCATATAAAAGTCTTGGGATGTTATATGTTCCAGCATTCTAGAAATAATTGCTAACATACACCAAATCCAAAACTTTGCTCCCACTTTCCTAAGTGCATTCATATGGCGCTGGGGAGGGGGGAGCCAGCATGGCCATCCAACCACTGTTATTCACATCTCTCTCTATATGCAGTCTCTTCCTGTATTTTCTTGCTACTTGTTTGTCATTCCTCTACCAGTTTCCTCAGTAGATACCATGTGCCCCAACGGTATGTGGGGAAACGGAAGAGCCATTTTTCTTCCTGAAGGGGCAAAGGTGGGATGGGGGCAAGGGGAGAAATTAACTGCCATGCCACCTATTTCGTTGGAAGGGCAGAGAGCTCTTTCTGATGGCACTGTACAGTAAAAGCGGGGCGCAGCTGACTTCCCTGCAGCAATGCACAGATCCACTGGATGCTTTTTAGCCAATTTCCACCGCCCCAGGAAAGGTTTTGCAAATGGAAAGAAAATTCTTGCAATGGAAACTAAAATGTATCATAAACTTTGAAGCCAAATTATATTGGTGGAGAGCAATTACAATAATAATGGAAAGGCGCTCTCTGTTTATTCCATAGAAAAGGGGGGGGGGGAGAACAGGACCCAACACTGTATATGAAATCTGACACAAAAGAAACTGTTGTAACAAAGCAGTATCCATAGCAACAACAACTTAATATTTCAGTCCTCTTCAGCTGCAGTGGATTAAATATAATGACAAGATGTTCCCTTTGAAAAGTAACCTGTTGCCATGGCAACATTGTATTCTATGAAGTAAACAGGGGCTGGACAGAAAGGAGATGGAAGCCTGCGACTGAATATCAAAAAGGCAGAAGTATCCGTAGCAGAGCAGGGCAAAGCACTGGCATTCTCTAATCCAGGAGAGGCTTGTTCTGAACAGCTCAGAAAGAAGAGATGGGATGTTTGCTTGAATAACGCATTGTTCTTGCCATTTTAAGACACCAGGAGGGCTGGAGGATTCAAACCCAAGGGGTGCCACTGAATGAAAGAAGTTCAAAGGTACAAGAATGGTGCTAAGCGTTAGTGGACCACTGTTGAAAGGATGGAGAGGAGGGGCAGGGGAATTGATGGTGATCTCAGTTCAGGTCTAACTTTGATCAAAGCAGGAGTTTTAACCCTGTTGGGTTAGTCTTTTTTTTTTTTTTTT